TGTGTGTGTGTGTGTGTGTGTGTGTGTGTGTGTGTGATAATGGGGATTGAACTCAGGAACCATTTCGAATGAGCTGCATCCCCAGCCCTATTTGTTTATTTAGAGACAGGATCTTGCTAAGTTGCCCAGATTGAACTTGGGATTCTTTTGCCTTAGCCTCTCAAGTTCTGGAATTACAGTGTGCACCGCTGCACCTGGCTTTATTAAAGTAGTTTTAAGAACAACAACAACAAATCATTTTTTTTAACCCAATGCTATATGATCTATAGATACCTGGGGCACAGCATAGCAAAATTTGTTTTATCATTTGCATTGTTGAACATGGAAATAAAAAGATATAATCTGAAAAGATTTTATTTAATTAGAAAACCGGATGGTGTCTTGAGACTCCCTTGGAAATTTATATTGAAGCAGGTAAAATAAAGAATGAAGAAGACAGACCATAGGAGTAGTTTACTTTAAAAACTCAGCATTCTCTAGGTTGCATACCAGAGAATTTCATTTAATGCATCAAGTATTCACTGGCAATAAATATTGAACACACTAAGAAGTTTTTGCATTCAATTTTTGCTGTAAAGTTTCATTCCAGCCATCTGAAACATCCTTTTAAGTTTTCAGAGAGACAAAGCAAACACAAACACATCATTTTCTTTAACAAAGATATATCACATTACTTAAAATATGTCCCCAGAAACTAGGAATAATGTTAATAAAGGAATAGAACTATGAGTAATTTAATATCTATTATATATGCTTCGTTAGGTTTTCATAAATTTTGTATAGTCGGGGAGGAGGTAAAAGATGGTCTACAAGTCAAACAAGCTCAGACAATAAAATTATTTTAGCATAAAGACTTGAGGAGCAGGACAAGGGCTAGGGTTTCAGCCATTAATTTGAAAGAGTTTACTAACCTGCACCTTCACTGGTAAGTCTGCTGTACAAACTCCTGGGAGACAGTCTGCTATGGGTTAAATTGTGTATCTCCAAAATATCTATGCTAAAGCCCTAACCCCAGTATCTCTTAAGGTAACCATGTTTGGAGATAGGGCCTTTAAAGAGGGAAATAAGTTTTAACTTAATTTTAACCCCATTTTTATGGGGTTGTATGGGTGGGCCCCAATTCAACATGGTTTATATGAAGATGGATATCATGGCGGAGAGGAAAAGCCAGCATGTGGACATAGCAAGAAGAGAGCCATCTGCAAGTCAAAAAGGAGTCAGAGGAAACCAACCCTGCTGCCAACTTCAACTGGACTGGTCTATGAAATTTGGTAAATAAGTGAGTAGCTATAATTATTCTCATTTTCTAGATAACGAGCCTGAAACTTGGAAATTTCAAGCAACTTTCTCCTTTGTGTGTGTGTGTGTGTCTGTGTCTGTGCGTGTGTTGCTGGGGACTGAACCCAGTACCTTATGCATATGAGGCAAGCACTCTACCAACTGAGCTATATCCCTTAAGCAACTTTCTCAAGGCCACATATTTAGTGAGTGAGGAGCTCTGGATCATCCCAACTCCAAAGCCTGGGGGTCTATTATAACACTGCTGTGGTGCTGTCCTTGCCCTTTTTGGGGACTCCTTCCACTCCACTATTTACTACTTTTGCTCTGCTCTTCCTTTCAAGTCATTCTATGGCCTTTGTTATCAGAGTATTTCCTTATAGTAACCCACCATAATGTGATCTATCTTCAGTAGCCTCTCTTACCTCTTATTGCTTGCCTTCTTAGGAACCCTAAGAAAAGGAAGAAAAACTACCAACTCTCTCCCAGGAAAAATGCACATAAATGCAGTATCTTGATCTCACTTATTCTTGATTTTTCTCCATTCCTCTTCCCACTATCATACTTTTAGGGGTCTTGATAAATAAATGGTTAATTACTCTTATATGTGTCAGTGAAGGCTTTTAGATTCATTTATTTATTCATTCATTCACTCATTTCATAGACATTTTTGAGTGTCTATTGTATATGAGACACAACACTAAGTCCTGTGGGGATTCAAAATGAGTTTTACAATACTCTGCTTTCAAGATGTTGCCAATCAGAGACAATAAGTTTCAATTTTGGTATTGTTTTGGAATTCTCTTTCTACTAGATTCACTGTTTTAAGTCTGAGATTACAGCTGCTACCTTGTTACCATGATAGTAGATCCTGTCTGAGATTAGAGCCAATTCAGAAAAACTAACACAGAGAGGTACAGAGAATGAAACTGTCTCATTCATGATAACATAGTTCTAACCCTGGCATCAAGCTGTTACTGAAGCTATACTGGAATAACTATACTGGCGATACTGGCCTCTTTCTTTTACAAAGACCAATAAAAGATTCCCTCTGCACTTAAGTCAATTCCAGTTCTGTTTTCTGTTACAGGCTACCAAGACAATACAGGCTACCAAATATAAGACTTTCTATTTATCATTTTAACTTGCTTATCTCTTTTCCAGATACTGGGGTGACTCATAGCTACTTTGAGCCTTTGATACTTTCCAGTATCATAGATTCTTTGAGCTCCCTTAGAATTTTCTACTCAGTGCTGAAGGTGGGCATCTGGTCTACCTCTGGCCCAAGGCTGAATCTCTGAATCTCATCTTTCACTGAAATACCACTGTTATAGAATCTGCTGAAGCAACAAGAGGAAAAGAGAAATCAGTAGTTAGACCAGTCTGTACATCTTCTTAGTCCAGAGTGCATTAGGATGGAAGTCAAATGGACCCTTATTAGGAAGGTGGCTAGGATCAAGTGTTCTTCAAAAAAAACCTAAGCTAAAACTTTCAGAATGAACCCAAACAGAAAAACCTAGATGGGTTGGACCTCTATAGTGCAAGTACTAAGGGGAAAATGGATGGTCAAAGAGGGTTAGCCAGAGAGCACACTGAAATGGTAAGATGCAGAGGTTCTCAAGAGAGCCAGTGTCTAGACATTGCCATAATAAAGGTCAGTCAATAAGCTAGAAAGAATTTAAAATAGTGCTAAATATCTTTAAAGTTCTTTTATTTTAATTCCTGCTGTATCTGTCTTGACTAAAGGATCATGAAGATGGAGAACAGGGGAGGAGGTGAAGCACCTCAAGTGAAAGAATAGGCAGTTCCTCCCTGGTCACCCAGACTATTTGGCAGGCTCAGGCTGAGGGAAAGAGAGCAGGTTCAACTGAACGAGACATAGAAGTTTTGATTGGGGCTCAACTTGAATTCATGACCGCTCTAATATCTCAATAGGGCCCAGAAGCTAAAGGATTTGCTGAGGGGTAGGCCAGGTAAAATTTTTAGAGTATGTTTTAAAAGAGTGAAGAGAAAACAAAGCTGTTTGTGATTGAAACTACCAAGTTTATCCAATCAACAAACAGGTTATACTGCAGTTGCCCTGCGGTTTGTCCACAGGCTTATCCTGAAGTAGGCTATAAGACACAGCACAGTGTTACAGCTCCTTTGTAAGGAGTAAGGATAGTTGAGGAAGTAGTTCTATGAGCTTAGTGTTGGGGAGAGTTCTGCTTTTCTAGACCAAATGTGGTGCTTTGATCCAAAGTGATATGCCAAATGAATGCAGGGACATCAGTGTGAAAGGCTCACTGATGTGGTTTACCATTGCTAATACATAGCAATAACACTGAGATCAACTTTAGTAGTGTTTTTGCAGTTTATACATTTTTTACAGAAAATGAACCCCTGATTATCTACACTCCAAAGAGACTGTTCCTTCCATTTTTACCTTAGGAACTCTGTGAATTCTGTAACATAGATATACTTTTCATCTTTGTTTCAGCTACTAGAAAGCTTGGAGTCAAACTAGTATGTCCCTTTTCCTGTCTGCCAGTATATCTTCTATGCTACGGCTCAGTCCTGGCTCCAGTTTGATTACCATTTTTTGTCTTTCTATTATTTTTTAAAAATATTTTTAGTTGTAGATGGATATAATACCTTTATTTTATTTATTTATTTTTATGTGGTCCTGAGGATCAAACTCAGTCCCTCATGTGTGCTAGGCAAGCGCTCTACCATTGAGCTACAGCCTTAGCCCTCCTTCTATTATTTTTAAACCTACTTCTAATTCACACAGCTTTGTGTGCCTATTTTCTTTTTTTTCCCCTGGGTTTCCAAGAAACTTACTTAATCAGACTTTTACAAGACTCTAGAAACCTGCCCTTTTAACAAGCTTTTGATTAAAAGTGTGGTTTAGGGAAGCAATTTTAACCTTCATTTTATGTCAGATTACATAATACAATAAAATTTAAAAAAATTTTGCAAATTATTAATAGATACCTAAACTCAATCTGGCTTTGAAAATGAAATAAAAGCATATATAACTGTATTTATAAGATAAGTGTGCTAAATCAAAAGCTATACAATAATGAGGCATTAAAGGTCAAATCCAAATACAAAGGAAGATACTCCTCCTTTGTATTGGAACTCCTCCATCTGATTGGAACCCTGGATTTTATTTTATTTTCTGTGTGACATTCTCCACAGATATATATCATTGGCTGCTGCTTTGGGGACTGAATGTCCTTCTGGATGTCCATAGCTAATACTTATACAAGCACAGAACTTTTCTCCATGTTTCTAAACAGAATCCCTGTGCCTATCTTTTGTAAGCCCTTTTATTCTTTTTGCAGCAATTATACATAATCAGTATTACGAACCAAAAGGATGATTTACAATGCATCTATTGAATTATTCTCTGTGTGTAGGATCACATGTGCAGTTGATTCTGAAGACAAGATATAAATTCACACATTTCAAAATGCAGTAAACGACCCCTAGGATGCTAGTTTAGAAGGTTTTCTTAGGAAACAGCACCATGTGGCATAACTCACCTACCCCAGTAGTGTGATCTCCCTTAGGTCCTGTGTAGGAAGTAGGAGTTTCTCCCCTCCTCCTGTGCCAGCTGCTCCGGTTTCTTTTCTCCTGCGTAAATGCACATTCATCTTGATCAAATGTACACTCTCCAGGTGGAGGTGGAAGTCTCTCTGCAAGGAAACAGCAGGTGTTGCAATTGCTGAGACACTTCCAATGAATATGCATTCCATGGCCCCCTGGCAGCCCACTCTGCATGTCTGAGTGTTTTCTGGTCATATGCCAGGCATATGGAGAGGCAGCCCCCTTCTGGTGGTTCACCTACACCAAGCTCTTGCTTCCAGTTACTGTCTGAACCCCACCATGGGTCTTGCCAGAGGCAGAGGATAATCAGAAATCTAGACCAAAAATATTGGGATACTCTAAGAAACGTTCTCCCATTTGGGAATTTATCTGTGTGAAAGAGCTTATGAAGCTCTGAAAATAGGGGGTAAATTGCTTTTTTTGAAATATGAAAAATATTAAAATTGCATAATGCTGGTGATTTCTTCAGAAATTCACAATGAGTGAAGGATATCCTCATAGTAATTCAATAGCTTCTTTGGAGGAAGAGACAAATGAGAGAACTAAATATAGTTTTGGAGGGGAAACAAATGGCCCTTTCTCTGTGCTTCAGTATTCTTATCTATAATGTGGGAATAGTAATGGTATTATTCACATAATGAGTTTGTGAGGAAAGAATGAGATGATGTATGTCAAGTATTTAGAGCATGAAGTTCTCAGTAATTATTAGCAAAATAAATATTTGGAACTTTATTTTGTTGCCTAGAGTCTTATTTTTCATTCCTAAAGACAAATACTCAATTTTAATGCTGTCTTTAATTCCTTGAATATTATTATCACTACACTAGTGCTACCTCCTAACTTGGGGTATCATTGGTTAACCTTTATTGTACTTTCCTACATCCAGATTCTTAGCAAAATTTTAAATAGATAGCCTGTCTTTAAATTTCTTGTGTGTTAATTATTTTACTTCATTTTATTTTATATACAGTACTAATTAATGAAGGCTCATTCCTCTTCTATGTCCCAAGTTGTAGATATTTTTATCTGTATTGTTCTTGCAGGATCTCAGAAATTAAGGGAATACAAACAAATTGTCTTTTAATTAGGTAATCAAGGATATTATTCTCCAGGTTGATTCTACAATTTGCCTATTTGTTGAAGAGATGGCAATCCCATTGTTTAGGGTGCAACGTAGTTAGATTCAGACAAATGATCTGGCTTGTGTTGGGCTCCATTTTCTCACTGGACATCATGTCCAACATGCAGCTAGCTACCATGACTTTATTTTGTCATTATCATCAATGTTTGGGCTATTGTTTCAGTGTCATTTGATTTACTTAGGAAATATTATTCTGTTACAATTTAAAAATTATACGTTTAGCAAGTATCTGTGAAATAAGAATTTCATCAATATGTCTTAAAAATGCATTCTGTAAGATGACTATGAAAAAAATAACAATACTAATGAGAACAGAAGACATTTGTTTTTAAGGCACTGTTCTGTGCCAAGTTCTAGGCTAGGGAATGTATGCGTATTATCCTCAATATTCAAGTAGATATTACTATCTCCCTTACAAAAGAGAAAAATAGGGTTAAGTCCCATGTACCAAAAAACATTTGTACATTTGGATCATTATTTCTAAATTCCAAAGCCTACTACAAAGTTCTCTAGAGAGGGATTTCTGTCAACAAAAGCAAAGGCTGGACTAACATAGATTGAATGTATGATTTTCTTATAGAAAACAGAAATGTCTTTGACAGGTGAGGGAGACAAACAGATTTAATGACTGCCCTCTTACCTGGAGACCAGCAGCTTCCCAGTTGTATTGTAATATCATCCAGGGCCACAAGACCACAGTCCCAAAAACTTTTGCATAAGCTCATGAAAACCACCTGCAATTCATAAATATAAAGTTATGAATTCTGTTAGCTGAAAATTGGAAACTCTTAGAACATGAGATTTACTTGGCACAACAGGCATGCATAAGCAGTTGTAAAGCTTCTTAATTGCCCATAGGAGGAACAAGACAGTGGCATGAAGAACAGTTACCATTTATTTGTGACCCTGGAATTAGTCAAATTATTTTAAGCAGAGTCAACATCATAATATTGTGTATACTTGTGCAAAAAGTTAGAGACATTCTTTAAAGAATGGAGAGTAAAAGTGAGGAAAGTAAGAGGTTAACTGGGTGACAGAGAAAAGCCTGTGAGGTTTTAAATATCTTCCCTAAATAATCCACAAAGTGCATACAGAGTTGATGGTTTTCCAAGCATTTTTCAAACACTTCCAGTACAAACACTATTGATTTTTTTGGAAATGACTTTCTGGCAATGTGCTTTATTCACATTATGAATGAAGTCCCAGTGATTTGCCATCTGGAGGTTTATGTTCTATTTCCAAGGCAAAGATCTATGTCCCCAGCTGGTATTGCTAATAAAAGCCCTAACCAAAGTTATTTTATCGGTCCAAACATTTTTATTGTTGTATGTGAAGGAAAAACAAATCTATAGCATAAGTTTTGAAATTCAATGTGTGTGTGTGTGTGTGAGAGAGAGAGGGAGGGGGGGGAAGAGAGGGAGAATAAATATGTTTGTGGAATTTCTTCCCATTACGTCATTTTAAAGGGTACTTTTCATATATTGAATGACCAAAGAGGCACTTATTAAAACATTTGTATTAGGTTTTCACTGTATTTGTAGTTACAAACCTTCTTTGTGGGTATAACTTAATATTTAATTAATGCAAGGTCATACTGTTCATGTTCAACCCCTCAATTACAAATCTTAATTCAAAGACAAAGAAAGATGTGACAGAAGCTAAAACTCACCTTATAGATAATAAGAACATTTGGCTTTATTTTTAGGTTCTAATATTCAAAATGTTATGGCTTTAATTTGTGTTATCAGTAGTGTCCCTTTATACTTTGATGATGAGATTCATTAGAATATATATATATATATATATATATATATATATATATATATATATATATATATATATTTACTGGGGATTGAACCCAGGACCTCATGCATGTTAGGCATGCACTCTACCATTGAACCACATCCCAGCCCTAGAATACAGAGTTTATTTTAATAGAAAAATTTTAAAATCATATGACAGCTTACCACTATACAAAATATAAAATGTCTTAAGCTGAGATCCTCAGAATAATTCTAATTGTATGTTGTAGAAAGGTTCACTTGCACTATATTTTTATCAGTTTAAATAATAAATAGGATAGTACGGTGATGTAACAATGCATAACTAGCTTTGTATATTTATAAAGAACAAAATTATGGGTTTTTGTTGTTTGTTTATCTCTTAAATTTTCATCTTTAGAGATTCTATTCAAATTTATAAAATATTTTACTTGAGGGTTTATGCTTGGGAACTTCCAAATGAGGAGAAGGTAAAGGTCTGAACGCTTCTACATTTTATTAGTAATTCTTATTGTTATATGGGAAAGAATATTAATCTGTCTCATAATTTATTGAACTAAATGTGCTGTAGAGAGAAAGCCTTGACTTTCCTTTCGTCAGCTTTAAAGTCCATTTTTCATAAAGAGAGTTAAAAAGTACGTTTGCAAAATGAATATGAAGTAGTGAAAGGATTCACCATGTAAATCTTTCCCTGCATTAAAATTCAAACAATTGGAATGGTAATATATTTGAAGGAGGAGAAATATTAACATGCTTTTATATGTTTACTATAGCATTATTTTATAATGACCATAAAACCAAACAAGGATGCAAACAAGGAAACGAAATAACACACAGTTCCAAAAGGAGAGAAAATAAACTCTGAGACATGGGGAGGGAGGGGGAAAGTTCTGAGGAGTGATATTGGCCAAATTATGCTGTTATATTGTGTATTGTGTGCATATACTAATAGGTAACAACAAATCCCATCAATACATACAACTATAATGCACCAACAAAAAATGTCGGGGAGAAACAGAAACAATAAAAAAACTATGATACAGCATCTAAGAAATAGGGCCTTATTAGGTCCAAAAGCTTGTGAATATTATTCAGTTGTATGGAAATAAATTCCTCTCAAAATATTAAGTGGAAAAATATGGTTAGAGTAAATAAAATAAAAATGAAATAAAATAAGACATAATCATACCTAAAACATCTAAAACTTCAGTGTGGGTATAGCTCAGTGGTAGACTACTTTCCTAGCATGTTCATGGCTCTGGTTTCTATTTCCAGAATCACACAAAAATAAATAAAAATAAAAACTAAATAAAAAAAGAAATACATGCCAGGCTGAGACAGGAGGAT